CGTATAAAGAATATAACGTGTATCCAAGTCCAAGAAATCTTTGATGCGTCGTAGAACACCAAGTCTCTGATTAATTTTGGAGATCATTTTGTCAATATGCTCGTGCCAAGATAAATCTTCACTAAAAGTAACTCCAAGATATTTCATTGATTTCTCCTGTGATACTTTTTCGTTCTGAATCGTGATGTTTACATTGATAAACGACTGCTTTCTGTTGGTAAAGATCATGAACTTGGTTTTCTCGTAGTTTAAAGTTAGGAGATTGTTATTTAGCCAGTGTGAAAGTGATTGTAAATCAGCGTTTATTTTAGCTTCAAGCTCCGTTGTTGACTTTGCAGAGTAGTACAATAATGTATCATCAGCATAAAGAATCGACTTACAGTTATTAAGACATTGAGGCAAGTCGTTAATGAATATCAAGAAAAGTAACGGGCCCAATATGCTTCCTTGCGGCACACCAACGGTAATAATACTAATAACTATAACTAGATTTAATTGGATAGAAGATTTCCTACGTGCACGATCATAAAGAGTAAAGCTCCACTCGGACTGTTTTTCAGATTGGAAGCCTATCAATACTGGAGTTCATAAGCGAACCAAATTGGGCCCATGGCTATTTCTCCTTATGACTAACCATCTTTCGATCCCACCTGATGATCTTGAAGGTGATACGAAGAGTATACAAGTTCCCTGCAAGATGTTACTAATTGTATTGTGAATTGTTCCACTTACAATAAATTTGAACTCAACCCGACAAAATGCAAGGAGATTGTGATTAATTTTCAACGTAATGAACCTGTTTTCCCGCCGATAAGGATAAACGGAATTAACGTAGAGCGTGTTTAAAAAGCAATGATTCTCGGTTTATTGATCATTCAAGAGATGAAGTGGAATGCCCATGTGGGTAAGATAACAACTAAAGCAGCGAAGCGACTGTATCTGATGAAACAACTGAAGAGATCGGGTCTTTGTGACAATGATTTAAAATGTCTCTACATTGCTTCTATAAGATCTATCCTTGAAGACGCATGTCAAGTATTTTATTACGGTTTCTCGGAATATCTTTCAGACCAAATAGAGCGGATTTAGAAGAGAGCTTTGCGCATCATATGCCCGGATTTGTCGTATTCAGAATCCATTGAAGAATTAGATATGGAAACTTTGAAGACAAGAAGGAAAGGATTATGTACTAAAGTATTCAAATCAATGCTGAATGACAAACATAAAATTCACCATCTCTTATAATTAGCTATCTAAAAAGCATTTAAATACCTACAACTTAAGAAATTCAAAATTTTTAATATTCCAAGGTGTAATACAAATAGATTTAAAAACACTTACATCATATCAAGTCTCTTAGAACTAGTTTAATTATAGTTTTTTATTCTACATTTATAATATCTCTACCCCAGTATTTTTTTCCTCAGTCAGATCTAATTGTAAAGTTATATATTTCTTAATATAATTATTGTAAAAATCATGTAATTCAGCCTCCGGGCTGCGAGATTATTTGATATTAATAAACCGTTTACTAATAAAAAGGCAATTTATTTCTGTTACAGATGTTGGGAAAAGCTTGTTTACTACGAGTGGAAAGATTATTTATATTATGTAGATCAGGGACTTTATCTCGGAGTTTATCTGATGCAATAGCTAAACCAATAAGTGGTAATTTTCCAATCCAGGTCGGCGGTTGATTGGGGTCTTTAATCTCGGTTTTATCGGATGTAGTGGATAAATCTATAGGTGAAAGTCTTCTAAACGTACGTAGGATTGATTTGTTAAACGTTGGTCACTATTTAATTCCTCAATTCGGTCGTTGACTGATTTTTCATCGGTATTTATTCTCGACCTCATATTGGGGTTTACTAATCATTTGCAGCAAGCAGATCTTTCCCTTCTGTGACTTGCTTGGAATTCTCTATAGGATTACTTAATATTTTAATATCTACTCAGGGAGTACTTTCGATATACCTATACAGAGTGTATAAAAAAAGGAGACCTTCAGAAATCAAGCATATTGTTAAAATTTGAATGCCTTTTATAATTACGTGTATGCTGAACCGTAGTGCGTGAAATATTGACGGGGTGCATATATTAGAAAAAGGAGACCTTTAGAAATTGAAATAACGTTTAAACAAAAAATTGTCTGCTCCTGCAATCTGCAGTCTTGCATACTGTACGTAGATTGCATGTTACGCACTCGTGGGCTTAGCAAAGTGCTCCAGGATTCAAATTATAAACTTACAATGGTTGATTTCTAAAGGTCTCCTTTTTCTAATATATGCACACCATCAATATTTCACGCGCAACGGTTCAGGATATGTGCAATTGAAAAGGCATTCAAATTTTAACAATAGGCTTGATTTCTAAAGGTCTCTTTTTTTATACACCTTGTAGATGTGACTATTTGGTCTTCAGTGTTCTTCAAACTTGGTATTATGCGTTCATCATGGTTGATTGAGTTTGCTAACTTGAATTGGGAAACATTTTGGTCGATTCTTCCTTAAGTTGCTCAATCACTTGCTTACTATATAGAATATCTCTTGTAGTTTTTGATTCGACAATCATGATCACGATATCCAATTTAGTTTCTAAACCTCTCGAGATTCGAGGGACATTTTATCACTAATCAGCCATAATGCCATCACTTTGTAATATCATAGTTACCGAGACAATAAAACGGTACGTTTCATTCGATTTAAGAAGTTGAAATGAAAAGGCGCATTTGTTTTTTATACTAATCAGGGCCGTATCAACCGGGGGGCTGGGAGGCTGCTGCCCCCCTTCCCCCAATATTTTCTAATAGTCATTCTTTTTTCAAAATCATGCAGACCTTATCAGTTTTATGCTTTATTAGCTTTAAGCGACTACATTATCCATGAAAAACTGCAAACAATGAAGATATTACCCACACTTTCCTGCAACTTATCCAATATATAGTTAATTAAGTACACCTTCGCCAATTTAGTGCTACCAAATTGTAAATTTCGACATACTAAAACGCTGTTTTCTGACCATCAGAATTCTGTCAAATCTTCCCCCAAAGTCCAGGAAATGGCATTTCAGAGACTCTAAATTTAAAAATTTCCTCGGGCCTTCGGCCCTTGCTTTCAGCCCCCCAAACAAAAAGAGCTTCCTACGGCCATGCTAATGACTATTGGGATGTTCGATAATGAGGTTACGGTTGATTTTTCATGTCTGTTAAATATTTAATTGAACAACAATATAACAGGTTATGCATATAAAGATGATGGACGATTAGTAACTAATCGTCCCGTGGAGTGATTAGTTTGTAATCGTCCCTCATGTTTTAGCAATGAGGTGAATAAGTCTTTAATCGTCGCTCGTGAAACAAAGGATTTCGAGGTAGCTATGATATTAATATAAATAATCACAAGTTTGTGTTCCAACTACACTGGTACACTAACATTGTCATTGTATGAAGAGCCATACAGGATGTCCCAAAAAAACGAAAACTATTGAAATCACCAATAACAATTTAATTGTTAGAATTTGAATGCCTTAGCACTCTGTTGGTTCCCACGAGTGCATAATTGATTGACATAAGTAAATTTTATGCATAAAGAAACTGTTCAATAAGCTGTTAATTCGCAAGAGCAGAAAATTGCGCACTTTACAAGGAGATGTTCTTAACTAAATTTTAATACATGCACCTTGTCAATATTTTACGCATCATTACGTTCAGCTGTTTGTAAGGGCATTCAATTTTTTTTTTAAAAAAGTACCCTCTATAGCAAATTATCCTATTGTTGTTAAGCACAGGATTTTATGCCACTGGTAATTAAAAATTCAATTCAATTGTGTTTACCCACTCTTGTGTTCAGCATAGTGCTCAGGCATTCAAATTATAACAATAGGATAATTTCTATGGAAGGTACTTTTTTGGCACACCCTCAAGCTGCTCCATTTACTGTTCTCCGAACATTTACTGTACTCTCCATTTACTGTACTCCGGATTTTCGGAACACTAATGGAATGGAACAGAATACAGTCACATGACTGTTCTGAACTGTTCTGACTACCCCGATTTTCGAGTAGGGGCAGCCAGAACAGGCATGTGACGCAGCCTATTTTGACGTGATTGGAAATGGAGGCGACGTTTTTGTATATCCAATGCACACTGTATAGAAATGCATAGAGCGTCATTTTAAAGGGTTAACCGCTATATATCGACATATGTTTATTATATGCTATTTGAACGCCAGGGTTGAGCAAAATCGACGACTAAAAACGTTGCAAAAGCATACTTAGATATACAAATAACAGCAAATCACTATACGCTTTATTATCCGAATAACTAATGATATAGTAATGCATGGTTGCATGCACGCATATATAATAAACAAAATACTGTTCCAGAACACCATGTGCACTCCAATTCATATCGTTTAGAACAGTGTGCAAAATGTTCTAGAACAGTAAATTGATCGGCCTGCCTGTATAGTATATGGGCAGATAAAGATTATTAACTACTTTACGTATACGTAGTCTGTCAAGTATCGTTTCATGGGGGATAATAGACGACACATACAATTAAACAATAAATCCCTCGAGGTAGTTTACAAGGTCTCAGATATAGGCACAAAGTCTCAAGGCAATCATTATGTAGTTCGTCAAAGGTCTTTTAAAAATGGTATATTTGACTTAATAAACGTACAAATCCCCAAGCCTTTTCTTAATGCTCGATCACGTCGGGCCAACAAATATCCGTTAATTTCCAAAACGGCATCGTTGATTTGATCCGGCAACCATGTTTCAGTAATAAATGCACAAGTAACATGACTTGACTTTAGGACGACTTCTAGATCTAATTTCGGAAGGAGTGATCTTAAATTTGATAGGAGAAAAATTGGTAACCAATTCTGTCGCTTTCTTCATAATTATATTATTATTATTATCAACTCACAAAGTCGCGGAGGTCTTGTTGAAATCCCCATTGGTGGCGGGGCATACGGACCAGGGTAGTTCATATAGAGATGAAAGGTTGGAAACGTCCTGACAGGTTGAGTCTCCTTGAATCGGGGAGGTCTTGGGGAATCCTCATTCGTGGCGGAGGATATACGGACCATGGTAGTTCATATAAGGATGAAAAGTGGGGCGACCCATCACAGGTGGAAAACTTTGGGAAGAGTATGGTATTCGATCCCCTAAAGAAGGTGGTGCATTATAAGGCTGATAAAATTGGGCGGGCTGTTGAGCGCCAAAATAATGAGAAAAATTACATTTCGAGCCCTTTAAGCAGTGGCCTGTTCTACGCAAGGAAGGACACGCTACTAAATGCTTACGAGTTGGGGCACGCAATCATAATCATAATCAAGTTACAGCAGGCAATGGATATTCATCAAGTAGTTAGTAACAGCGTTGTTGCATGTTCTATTCTGTTGCTGTTGAGTTGTTGTACCTGATGTTTTTTATGTTGCTGTTGCGGTTGTTGTACATGTTGCTACTGGTGTGGTGCTGTTTTGGTGGATGTTGTTGTTGTTGCTATTCTTGCTGTTGTTGCTGTTGCTGCCGCTTTGTTATAATTCGGTATTTTGTCGTTCAACTGCATGCTGCTGCAAATGTTGATGCTGCTTAGTTGTTATGTTGATGCTGCTAGCATGTTGGTTGCTGTCGTTGTCACTCAAATCAACGGTAATTATGTAAAATTTTGTTTACAGACGGAGATACCCAGTGCTTGAATGACAAGTTGGTCGTTGCGGACAGCACTGGATTTGGCTACGCAAAGTGTGGTACATTCTTTGTCTACTGCCCGGAAACCTACAATACTGGTAATGTCTCATTTCATTTCACAACTGATGTGAATGGCTATGGAAGCCGATTTATATTGACCTACGAAATCAAGGACAAATCTGCCTCAAGTAAGTACGATCAATGACAAGCTCGGCGCATTAATTGTTATGGAAATAATTTTCTTCCAGTGATAGTCGGGCTCCGTTGAAACCAGTGTTTCTACACTGAAAGAATCATTCTGTTTAAATAGATTTATTATTATTTTTTTCTGTGCTGGTGTTGTGTACTCAGGTGAATAATATGTTTGTGATGTTACTCTGAGTGCATATCCACACCGGGCGAGCTTGAAAAATATGCCCGGCCACGTTGGGATTCGAACCTACGACCTTTGGAATACTAGCCCAATGCTCTTCCAACTGAGCTACGCGGTCAGGACGGTTCGAGTAAGTGATATTTCGGAACAGTATCTAGTTCCTTCAACACCAATGTGTTCTTGTAATATGAATTTTTTCTGTGCTGGTGTTGTGTGCTCAGGTGAATAATATGTTTCTGATGTTACTGCATATCCACACCGGGCAAGCTTGAAAAATATGCCCGGCCCGGCCCGGCATTGGGCTAGTATTCCAAAGGTCGTAGGTTCGAATCCCACCGTGGCTGGGCATATTTTTCAAGCTCGCCCGTTGTGGATATGCACTCAGAGTAACATCACAAACAGATTTATTATTGATTTAAAATCTTCAAGCATCATGACATGATTTCTGATTGGCTAATAACCAACTGTGGAATCGTCATATATAGAACGAAACATTCTCCGAATATTAACACGTCTTGTAAACTAAATATTCGTGCTATTTTAACAAGAAAAAAATTCAAGGAAATATCTCGATTTAATTTCAAAATCATTGTCAAATCTAAGTATTTACAAGCGTGCTGAAAGCATTGTAGTGGCAAAGAAAGGAAGTTGACGTAATCAGCTGAGAGAATAGCAAATTAGGTATTATATTTACAACAACATTCAAGGTAACAGAATAAGGATCAAAATACTTATTCTATTACCTTGAATTCTGTTGTCTTGTTTAAATAACTGCATGAATCTTGAGTTTGCAAGATGTTTTAACATCAATATTAAAATATTCGGAATGCGTTTCATCTTATATTTCGCGAGATTGTCTGATAAAGGATTTTGTTATAACGTTGAATATGAAAAATCATACGTGGAAATACGAATACGAAATGTGGAAACACAACCAAGACAATGTTGGGCCGCTTTCGGCCTTGTTCACAGGTTTAAAGGAAACAACTTTTGAAATATAAAGAAGACTTGTCAGCGAAAACAGGCACAAAATATTTTGAGACATGTTAAAGTACTTACGAAACAAAAAAGAACGATTTTCTGCAAATAGGGAAAAGAAATAGTCATTATTGAGACGAATTAAACCCATAGGTGCGGAAGTCTTTCCGATTCTTTAAATTAATATTAAAACAATTATTGAATTTGGCTTTAGCAATACAGGAAGAATTAACAAGACCTTAGTTCCCCTTCGGCTTCGGTTGATTGCACAAACTTTTCATATGCTCAACATCATTCAATAATTATTAATTACATTCTATTTTTAGCCATGGTGCCCAAAGGTGGGCAAAATAGAAAACGTTGTTCATGTTCTTGGGAATACAACATACTTCAGTCAATGAACTTTCTTCGGAATTTGCAGATTTTCAGCATCCAATAAGCAATAACCCGATGGTTTTCCGATGATGACGTTTGTCGAGCATTTTGCATCCCGCCTATCGACAAAAACAATTTCGATAAAAACCAATTTATATCGATCAGAATTTGAAGAATTATTAAGCCTTCAGTTTGCCTTCTGCTTCGGTTGATAGCACAAAATTCTTCATATGCTCAACCTTATTCAAGAATTATTAATTCTATTCAATTTTAGCCATGCTGCCCACAGGTGGGCAAAATAGAAAACGTTGTCCATGTTCTTGCAAAACCTGAAATTCTTCCATTTTTTATACGTTTCCAATCGGCAAACAAACTTAAAAAGTATGTTTATTGTGTAGTACAGTACGGCGGCGATACAGGTTTAGTAGTTTTTGTGAGGTTTTCTTGGGTGCGGGGGGAAGCAATTATAAGCAAAGAAGTCCTCAGTGGTTTTCAGCTAAGTCCCAACACAACACAGAAGACATGATCCAACTGTCAAAAGTGCCATTTCCTTCACTTTTTGTAGGGTGTTCACGGGCCTTGAAAGTCCTGGAAATTCCTTGAATTTGTAAAAAGGAAATCCAGGTCTGGACAGTCCTTCGAAAATTAGTGGAGGTCTTTGAAATACCTAAAATCACCAGCAAATTAGCATAGTTGTGGAAAAAGTTCACGCGTTTTAAACAGGCTAAGACAGAACCTTCCCAAATAATTAACCCATCATTTCCATATCTACATAAACACTACAAATTCGTGCATACAGCAACCGGCTACCCTTCGCCTAAATTCTCCAAACATTGATTTAACATGAAGTATTTGTAATTGGCCAACACTAAACGCAGGTTTGCGTTGTGCGTCAAGTGTTGCCATAGCAACACGATCGTTTTTAAAAAAATTATAATTTTGTACAAAACGGCAGATATAGTTGAAAGATTAGTACTTTTAACTATGCAACAATGAATTTCAGCAACACATACTGTAGGTATGTTATTTTAAATTTTGTGAGCTTTAGTCATAGGCAGCCCAGCAAATATATGTATTCACAGTTAAACACTTCAAAATGCTTATAAAGTTGGTATGACTTTGGCGTCAAGCGATTTATTGTGTAGCTCATTATGCATCGGCTATTGCTTATTAGCTGTTTTTTCAAAGAATGTTTATTGACTGGACTCGAGCATATTATATTCGGAATGTTCCAATTTTTGAGCACCCAATAAAAATAAGTCGGTGATTTTTCCGATGTTGAAGTTTGTCGAGCAATTTGGATCCCGTTTATTTACGGCGAACTTTCGATAAAAAACACTTTTTACGTACTTCTAAACTTTTTTCAACTCTAAAAAGTATCAATAAAGTTACAAAATATATCCAAGGTGTTTTGCATCTGGTTGTTTTGTTGTTTCAAGCGAACGTATTAGTGTGTGTAAATGTACTTTGCCAAAATGTTGCCAGCCTTAGGATACAATACTAGATATAAAAATAGAGTGACGTAAACATCCGAATCTGCATACATTATCAGCTACGTAATAAATTGCGTCGAAGCAAAGTCAGACGAACAAGTTGAACACGACTGCCTTTAATTTTGGTGTTCGTTAAGGACTACTCGGAATACAGTGGCAGCGGAAACACGACGGTCAAAACATGGTTGATCGCAACTGTTTCAGCGGTAGCGTAGGAAAAGATTTAAATTTAACGGGCTAAAACTATGAACAACAATAAAGAAATTTAAAAAGTTTAGGCTTGGAAAACCGTTTCCTGCACTTTCTGGCCACGAATCGATGAATTTGGACAACAAAAATATGTAAAACATTGCTTCATAATTGGGTTTTGTATGACTGAGACTTGGTGGGAGCTAAAATCGCTCGCAAATCAACCTGATACTCAGCGTTTTCACTTCAGCTACCCCCCGAAACTCGCTGCAGCGAAAAGCCTGACACAGACTGGTTACGTGGCATCCAGATTTTGGGTGCCACGTGGAAATATGTCACTAGGGTTGGGTAGGACGGCAGACATTTGCTATCAATACATAAAACGGAGACGCCTATAGATTTTGATATACAGTATTACTGTCAATTTGGGCATGGTAGAAAAGACGGTTACAGGGTAGATGGGTACCGAGTAGATGGGTACCGGGTAGATGGGTACCGAGTAGATGGGTACTGGGTAAATAGATACCGGGTAAATAGGTAAACGGGTAAATAGGTATAACTCCCGGTCGAATTTTGACGGTTCGCACGAGTTTTATGTGGCACTTCGAATGCAACCGAGGAATTAAATCGTATTAAATCAAAACTGACAAGCCTTGTATGAATTGTATTTAATCGCAATATCACAAAAATCCAAGACCTGACGTCAACTAGAATACAAAGATAAGTACGCTCTTACTTTACGTTAAAACTATGCGTTAAACAGAACAAATATAAAGTCAAATTGACAAATATCGTATAAATGTACTAACCGATTTGTCCTCTATATAGTGCCACAATCGCAGGTATCGCACTTAGAACGGTTTCAATATCAAACGGTTTAGTTCACTATAAATTATATTATTCGCAAGTTCGCAAAGATCAACACACGCATACTATGTTTCTACTCGCACACTATCTCAATCCAAAAGTATATAAGAGCTTGGGCTCTAGTGTCCAACATTTCGCGAGAGCGCTTACATGGCTCCCCTAAATTGTTCACAATTTACCACATTTCAAACTTGGCTCCTCGAAGGGGAATCTCTTCATTTACTTAACTTCGATTTCTTCAGCCTTTAACAGTACTATAAGTTTTTAAATAGGTCTTTCTAAGACTGATTTTGCTCGTATTCTTTGCCCTTCCACGTTCAGTAACGGATCACCAACAACAATCTTCACTCTCCTTACTAGTCCGTCTTCACTTGCGTACGTTTCGTCTACTCGCGCTGTTCTCCATTGATTACGTGCAGAATCTTCTTTCAGCAGCACCACGTCTCCTTTCTGTACGTTACGACGAGGAGTATTCCACTTCTGTCTTTGTTGAAGTGCCAGTAGGAATTCCTTTCGCCACCTTTCCCAAAATTGATTCGCGAGATATTGTACTCGTTTCCACCTGTTTCTACTCGCACACTATCTCAATCCAAAGGTATATAAGAGCCTGGGCTCTAGTGTCCAACATTTCGCGAGAGCGCTTACAATAGGTAAACACGTAAACAGGTAAATGGGTAAATGGGTAAATGAATAAACGGGTAAATGGATAAATGGGTATATGGGTACCGGATAGACGGATACCGGGTATTTTAAAATCAAACGTGCTGGTCGCGACATTGAAATTCCTTTATATCTGAGAGCGACTTCGGAAACGTTTGTGGGCGGTACTGTGATCTATTTTTAAGCAAGGAAACCGCACATGGGTGGTTTTCGTAGTATTTTGGCTGTGTCTTGCAAAGCCATGGCATGGGCCAGTTTATTCAATATTTTATAGGTTGTTTTTGTAGGCATTACTGTATGAAGAACAAGTCTCGCGCGTTTTAACCGTGCTTCATAGTTTTTCTGCATGGCGTCAGCAAAATACTAAAAACTCCATAATATTTTAAAGTCAGGCAGGAATCATTATATTAGTATATAATAGAGTGCAAATTAAAAACATCTGCAATGTGGCACACAGGCACAGTGCACTAATAGCTGCAGTATTAATGTTTTGAAATATTTGCAATGATTTGGAACAAATTCTGTTTGCATGTTTATTGGTAAAATGTAAGATGTATTTAGTATTTACCTAGTGGCAACTCTGCATGCACTACGGTGGTGGTTTAAGACGTCTAAAACAGTAAAACATTTGTTTAA